ACCTTCCTTTAAGGACATTTCAGAAAACGGCATATTCCATGTCCCGTTAGAGCCCATTAAGCAGAATGTAATCACATGGCTGCACTTAGCTGCATGAAAAGCTGGGAACTGTAGTTTGTATACCAGTAGGCCAAGTGCCCAGCTAAAAAGTAGAAAGTCTCTTACTTAGGAAGACGGCAAGGGCAGATATTGGGGGAAATGAGCAATTTCTCCCACAAATATACATGATCTACGATTAATAACCCTTTCTGCAACCTTTGCCTCTCCTTCTCGAATAGTTAGCTTTCTCCCTATTCTTCAATGTAGGGTTGAAGGGAATAAAGGGAGGATTAATCTATTCCATTGATTTCTTTGTCCCTATAGAATAGAGCTTGCCGTGACAGCACAGCTTGTGGATGGATGGAACTAGAGTCAATCAAATGCCAACTCCAAGACTGGGAAAAAGCTATGTTGGAATTCTCAACACAGGGCCCTGCATTTTCATTTTTTACTGGGCCCCATAAATTTTGTAGATGGTCCTAACCGTTAGATGTGAGGATTGAGGGAGGAAAGAGGCTCAAGTATTACACTTAGGTTTTTGGTTTAAAGGACCAGTGAGCATTTAGTAGTGCAATTTGGGAAAGAAATCAAGAACATTGAACATGTTAACTTAGAGCTGCACCTTAGATATTGTGGTAAGATAGCTGTTGATTGCTTCCATAGCATTCATTTCCCTCTTCCTAATTTTCACATAGACCCATTTCTATTTCTTAACGGTTCTATATGATCCAAAAAACAATTGGTATTGTTCCGTTAAGAAATAGAGACAGGGCCTCCCTGGTGGCACAGGGATTAAAAACACAGTGCTACCAAGCTATTGCCAGCCACTGCAACATGAGTTTGATCCCTGGCCAAGGAGCTAATCCACATGGTGCAGCAGACCTCTCCTGTCTCACCCACTGCTTCCCTCACTTGTGTATTTCAGTAGATCTGCCTGTTCTGCTCCCTCTCACCCCCTATACCTCTGGCCTACACCCCAGTTCTTATATGCATAAATGAAATAAATCATAAAAAAAGGAAATGGGGGGGGAGAGAGAGAGAGAACAATCTTCACCATGGTTTCTAAGTCTGTAGAGAATCTGACCCTATTAAACTATAATTCAACAATGAGCCAGAACTGGAGCTGTATGTGGAAACAAAGCTTTTCTGGAAAATACCATTCAACAAGGCATAAAAATGCTCTAAAATGGGGTGAGAGGGACTACAAGTTTATATCAGCACAGTTGTCTCTTAAAGGCAAACTAATAAATTTCTTTAGAAGGAGAAAGAAAAACATGCAAAGGGAGGTATGTCTACATGTGCAGTGATAGATTTCCTCTGTGAAATTGAGATCCAATCGCATTTATTGATCTCTATTAGTAGTCTGCCACTGGCTTTCCAAACACCCCAAATTCCAGGTGTAAGGATGCTGGTTTACTGAGAGTGATTAATATGGTTGTAAATCCAGGTTGCCAAGTCAATCAGGTATTTTAGAAATGCCTACATTTTACTCTCCTAATGGCCCCTGACTCCATTTTGGATGTTGCCTTTATCAAGGTTCATTCCATTTCTTAGTCACCACAATTCCTATGATTCTCTGAGCTCATTTTGTTTTATACTACTTCCTCCTTTATATCCATTCTCAAGTCACTGATCTACTTGTTTCCCCTATCTGAGGGTCTCTGCACTAGCTATAGCTGCCTGCAACTCTTTTTCCATTATCAATCTTCACATTACCAGCTCTTTCTCTTTATTTAGGTTTCAATTCAAATGTCATCTTCTTAGAGACCTTCTCTGGCTATTTAACCTAAAGAAATCCTTTTCAGTGGAAAATTTATTGGCAGGCATGGAATGGCAGGAGATAATTTAAAGCACTCAAAGACAAAGATTTCCAGTCTAGAATATTTTATACTGCAACATTTTTATCACTGAGGACAGAAAGATGTTTAAGGAGCTTTACTGCAAAGCAGAAACTAAAAGAATTTATCAATGCCAAATCAGACTGGAACTAGCCTGTGAGTTGGAGGTGGTGTAAAGACCTTAAGTAAAACACAGTTGTTTTACCTTCTGATCCCAACTCACTACTCCCCATTCTCACCCCATCATTCTGTCTTCAGAAGTCATGGAGCAAAAACTATAAGAGGTTACAAATATTTTTCTTAAGGAAATATATGATAGGAAGGAGATTTATTTTCTAAAATCCTCTTTTAAAAGGGGGAGATGTCCAAGACATTCAAACAACCTAAAAGCCCCAAAACAGACAAATGGATCAAAAAGTTGTGGGTATATACATGATGGAATACTACTCAGAGACCAAAAAGGATTAAACTTGTGCCATTTGTGGCAACATGGATGGAGCTGGAAGGGGTTATGCTCAGTGAAATAAGTCAGAAGGAAAAAAGATAAATATTGGATGGTTTCAAATATAGAAAAATTTAACAAAAGGTCAAGAAAAAGACAAGAAAAAGGTCAAGCTTACTATAGATCTGAGACATACAGAAAGGGAGGGATGGTAGGGGGACTCAAAACAGGGGAGGGAAGAACACAAGGGACTATGAGGATGGCTCACAGGTGATATGGTGGTGGGAGAACTACGGGGACTACACCTGAGGGGAGAAACCAATTACAGTACAAAAATAAACAACAATGTAAGAAAATAAATATTTTTTTTTTTAAAAAAAAAAAGGGAGAACCTGTCTTGGTTGCAAAATTCTTTGATAATTGCTTTGGGGTAGAAACTGATACCTGAGGGGTGCAGATCTTGGCAAGATCTGCAGGAGGCAAGAGATGATTTTTTGGGATTTTATTTTATTTTAGAGGGAAGAACAAAAGGAAAGAAGAAAGATAAGAGGCATGATGGAAACGGGAGATGTAATCTCCTTGCTAGGCCTAGTCATTTGGAGACAGGAAGAGGCTTTAACAAGCATTAAAACTCATTTTCAAAATTTTTGCCATTAAAACATTCCAAAAGGCATATGAAAGATGCTAAAAGTAGATTCCTTTCAGTAAAATTATCTTACGCTCAGTTGTAGCTGAATTGCTCCAGGCCCCACATTCTTTCAGTTGAAGCCTTACCTCATGACTTCTAAAATTTCAGTAAAGTATTTAAAAACAACACCATCAACACACAACTTAATGTCAATGGACATTTTCCTAGAGCTGATGAAGAAAATAAGTTCTATATTCAATGTCTTATTGTTCAAAAGGAGATAGTCCTTAAGGTTAAGGACTACAGAGAATAGACACACACCAAGAGAGAACTGTGAGAAATCACAGGTGTCGTGAAGAATGCCGCCGACTATGGAATTGGATTGTTATTCAAGGTAACCAGATATATGAAGAATAGGAAACCCCTAAGTGATAGCATGACTATTCTAATTTTTGCGTCAACTTTATACCTATATTGCTTCTGAGCAAGCTAACAGACAAATCTAGGCTTGGCACACCTGTGATCAAAATTCTTCAATATTTCCCCATGGTCTACTAGATTAAAAGAAAGATGAAAAGAAAACCTTTATAACACATGTAAGAAAACCTTTGCCAGCTTCCTGTGAGTAGGAAGTACTCAAAACATGGAGGATGGGCAGGGATGGCTTTCTTGTTTCTACCAAATCTTGACAAAAAAAAAAAAAAATCACAGAACTCAGTCAGGTCATCTCTGGTCATCTACTAAAATGCCAATAATCCCTCTCCCTCAAATTTCCCTAACACCTCTGTGCTTATTTTTTCCCAGAATTTCTTACCAATATTCAACATATGTGTTTTACTTGTCTATCTCCTTCAGCAGGCACATAAATGCATAATAGATAAAATCCATGAAAACAGGAATTTTTAACTTTTAAATTTCTCTACTAGTCCACCTCTAGTACCTAAAACTTAGCATATAGCAAGAGCTTAATAGAATATGTGCAGGATGGCTGGATGCATAAATACATCATTACAGCCTCAGCTCGGAGACTATCTCTAATGTACCTGAAGCTCCCAGAAAGGTTTATGCACTCCTCCTCCACCCTCCTGCCCCATACAGATCTTCTCTTATATTGAAATTTACATTGAAGTCAAGAGCATCAGTTTCACTTGCATACAGAAGGGAATCCTCTGTGTGTGGTACACGTCATTGAATAAACGAATGATTAATGATACCCCCATTTTAAAATTGAGGAAAATGTGGTTAATAAAGTTTAAATAATTTCTCAAGACACACACTAGAAAATTGCAGAGGTAACTTTTCCTTGGTACCCTACCCCCTCTCTCTGTATGTTCTACCCTGCCCCCACATTTTCTATTTTGTACTCATTTCAAATTCCCAGGTCAAACATCACTCTTTAGTGAAATCTTCCAGTTGACTCTTATTCACATTAATATCTCCCTTTTTTCCAGAAGCTCCTGAACTCGTTGTCAGGGTGAATGGGGAAGGTTATAAGGTAGGCTACAGAGCCTCGGAGAACAGCTTATCTATGTCCCAACTATCTTGCATATACTCTAACCAGGGTCTTGGAGCAAAGACCTATTTCTTTTGCAGGTTATACACCCTCCATTCAACCCAGGTCTTAGGTAATATTCTCTCAGGATCTGCATATATCTCTCTCAAGGATTTATATGGTTGGTCACACATGCAATTGTTTGCATGATTTGGTTGAACTGACCTCCTAGGAGAACCTGCAGAATGGAGATCTTCAAGGGTTACCTGAATAAATAGCATCCTCACCCTGAGATTAGCACTCCAGACATCTAAAGCTTTTCTTCCCCCTCTTCCCATCTTTGCTTTTGTTGGAAGTAGAGGCTTTAAATTTTCCCAAAATGACTCCTCCAAAGCTGCTACATGAGAAGCAAAATCTTATTTCCTATTAAAGCGTGTCATGTTACCACATCAAAAATGGAGACTTTTCATTGACTCAACTTTTCCCTTTTTAAATAGAACATATATCAAAAATTTGAAACAACAATTTTTGTCGTCAGTGAAAACGCAAAAAGTTACTTACAGTCGAAAATACGTGCTTGTTACTTGCGTTCATTTTCTCACCTCTAAGCTGCGTTACCATCGGAACCTGCAAAAATCCACAATAAATTCTTCTCTATGCCCTTTGGGCTTAAAACTTTCACTAGGTACTTAACTATCTTACTCAACAATTATGTGCCATCCTAGTCCATAAATGAGTTACATTTATCCCTTAATGTCTCCATAAAATGTGATAGCTGTAAGTCAGGAAGCAGCAATGAATTAAAGGGGCCTGTCTGGTAGTGTAAAAGGGCAAACCCCAGGGAAAGGGAAGGTTCCAGGTTCCGTACCCAACCCTAAGGATGGTGGAGCTGGGCAGGGAAAGGAAGCTAGGCAAAGACAGAGAGAAGGGCTGAGAGAAAGAGTTTCCAGTTAAACAACCAAAGGATGAAGGATGAAAAGATCAGGAAGGAGACCTGGAAGTGGAGCATGGATTAGAGACACATGTGAAAAGGTTCTGGATTTGTACCAGGGACTTGGGGACATGGAAGGAGACAGTTGAAAGAGGCAGTGCCTTGGATGAGAGATGCTTGGGGAGGCTAACAGGAGCAGGCTTTATCTTGCCTTGGGTTTTGATTTTGCTCCTTCCTTTCAGACTTTCCTGGCCTCTCCTGCCCCTTTACTGTGGTTCCCCACCAGAAGGCGCCTTGGACTTGTAGCAAAGTTTCAGGCCTCAGAGGTCCTGCTTTGGGCAGACACAGTGTGGCTCAGCATTTACTCATGGAGGGCAGGTGAGGGGAAGAGGATGGGGAACTTTGGCTGTCTAACTGGAAACTATTTTAACTATATTCTTTCTCTTCTTTCTCTCTGTTGCACACTAATTTTATTAAAGTGCCTTTCCATTAAAGGTCTTATACACTAGAGTATGTTTTGTCTTCATTCGCAGGATGGCATAACCCATTCTGAGGGCAGGTTTGGGGGTCTCGGGGTGCCCTTCCTAACCCCTAACATCATTACACTACCTGTGTTCAAATTCACCTCCATCCTTATCCAGCCGTGTGACGTTAAGTCTCTTGTCTGTCTCTTTCTTTCATTTTAAAACGGGGTTCCTATGACTTCATAAAATTGCTGTATTACATATAAAAATAGTCATAAATGATCCCCACTACTTGAGGACTTACTCGACAATGGGCATTGTGCTGAGCACTTTACATCCTTTCCATCTAATTATCAGAGCAAACTGAAGGTGCTGGAGCATAGACTCTTGTTCTTTGCAGACAACCAAACTATGTCCAGTCAGGGGGCTCAGAGCCCAGTCAGCTCCGCGAGGGCCTGCCATTGCTGGCGGAGAGGAGAGCGGCGAGGAGGCCTGACCGCCACGCCTAAGCTCCTAACCCCTCAGCTTTAGCCCGACAGCGTCCAGAGCCGAGGCCGGGGCTGCACAGGCCGCCCCCAGCCCGCGGCGCCCCGCTTCTCCCGGGCCCTTGCGTCAGAGGCGACGCGCCGAGTGGGCTTCGAACTTGGGCGCGCCAGTTTCTAGTCAGGCTACTCGGTTTTCCTAGAAAACGCCCCCTCTTCACTCTCCCCTCTTCTCCCCAGAACTGCAGTGCGGGGTGAGTGGCGCTGCGGCCAGGGGTACCCCTCACGAGCCCCTCCCTCTCCCGGGAGCCCCGCGGGCCCCCCGAGAGGCGACGGCGGCCGGCGGGCCTGGGGCGGGGGGAGCCTGTTTCCAGCCGGACCGCATCCCCGGGCGCTCCCGAGCCGCGCGCATGCGCGCTCCGTGCGACGCGGCGCCGGCCTGCGGACGTGCGCTCCTGCCTGCGCGGCGCCGGGGCCCGGAGGTGCGCGGCCGTCCGGCCCTGCCGGCTCCAGGTGCGTGGGGAGGCGCTCAGCACCCCGAGAGTGACGGGGAGCGGGCCCCGGGAAGAGGCGGGCCTGCCTCCATCCCTCCACGGAGCCCAGGGACCCGGAACGGGGGCGCCACGACCTCAGCTCCCTTTCTTGTCCCACTTCCCCGCCTCCCGCCTGGTCTCGGGGCGCGGGAACTCCCCGAGGGGAAGGTGCGAGGAGGGTGCTGGCCCCCGCCTGGGGGTCCCGGCGCTAACGGCGTTTTTTCTGCAGTTTTCACCCTTTCTGGGGTGGGAATTGGCGATGTCTGCAGCCGGCTTGACCTCGAGGTGCTTGTTGGCTGTGGGCGGTTCGGGCGAGGTCCAGCTGTCAGGGTCCACTGTCCAGGCCGTCAGAGGCGGCTCCCCAGCTGCAGGTTGTCCAGGTTTCTCTCGGGTCTTTGCTTTCTTGTTTCCTTCGTTTTAATGAGGTTAGTTAACCCCAGAAGACGAAGGGGCTTTCAGCTTTGAAGCAACATTGGATTGATTGATTGATGATTTATTATTATTATTATTATTATTTTCTAGATCAGTATTTACAGCCTTCCCCCGGAGTCTATTCTGCAGATATTCAGGATAAGTTTCGGGTTGAACCGTTGAGATTTACTATTGTGTTTTTAATTTTCAGTCTTACAGGAAAATTGCGCTATTAGTTTGTTTATTTTTAATGATCGACCCAAAGAAATGGAGAGCCAGACAATCAGTTGAAGTGCGGTTTGGATGGAGTTCTAGCGAATTAATGGGCACCCTGTCCAAGTACTTGGGGGACTGCACTTGTCCCATTGGGGAACCCTGAGCTGTCACTTATAAATAGGGAATGAGATCACCGCTTGCCACCAGTGTTTCTAACAATATAGGGCTCTCGGTACGTGTTTTCCCACGTGGTGTGGAAGCAAGTGGCAACAGTATTCAGTCTTAGTGCCTAGTGGTAAGTGATCAAGCAAATGCACCTTTGGGGCACAGGAGCTGTGCATACTCCGTTCCGGTTATAGTCAGAGATAGTTGTCCTGTGTGTGGTTCTAGTATAGGTTGTTGGGTTTTGGGTTTTTCCCCCAGCAATGTTTAATAGAAACGATTAAAGGGAAGGAAGAATAGGCAATAAGAATTGAGTCTGACTGCAAGCCAAAATCTGATGCGAGGTCTTTTAGACCTGATCATAGTCAATTTCAGGACTTGGCTGGCCTGAGGTGGGAATAGGATTGGGGAGCTGCCCTTCCCACACCAGGCTCTGTGCTTAGCCAGTGCATTTCAGTTTTCTGGAGGGAGTTGCAGTCTAGGCCTTTCCCCTTTCCTCCAGCTAGCTATGACCATACTATTCAGAATTCCTGGCTGAGATACCTCCATTCTGAGGACCTTGGCCAAAGCACTTGCCCAGTGCATCCATCTAGACCCCATATTGTAAGGATGGGTGACCTTGGCTGAGGTGCTTTTCTCCATTTTGACTTAGGACCTTACTACTTCTAGCCCTTCCTTCCTCCTGCCCTGCCCACAGATCCATAAAGATGCAGAGGCCTTTTGTTTGCGCCTCCTTTGCACTAAGATATTTGTGTGCAATACACCCACCTGATCCTCACTCACATGGTGGTGTTCCCTTTAAGGGACCACTGGGGAACATGCACTTCTTTTGCCTCCTGCCTACACTGTTGCAGTAAGTGAATAAAGGTTTCATTATTACTTTCAGTTGGATTCTAATTGACCACCTAATTGATTGCTTGTCTGAAATAAAGTAAATTTTCAAGCTCTTGGCAGGTCACTGGATTCATGACTTAATTTTAATCCTCATAACTGTTGTAGTTGTTAGGGATTTGGAGGTCGTTCATCTCTAATTTCTGATTCATTGTTGCAAAAATGCATAATAGCACCGATAGCTGAATTTTGCTAACATGGATATTTGGGTTCTATGTTATATTTTGTTTTTTTGTTTTGTTTTTTAAAAAGATTTATTTATTTTATACAAGAACCGGGGTACAGGCCAGATGTGCGGGAGGGTGAGAGGATTCACAAGAGACAGAGCAGGGAACAGAACAGGCAGACTGACGAAATACACTGTTGAGGGGAGCAGTGGGCAAGACAGGAGAGGTCTGCTGTGCCATGTGGGTTTCTCCCCAGCGGGCTGGGATCGAACTGGCACTGCAGAGGCTGCCGGCAGCTTCACAGTTCTGCGCTCAACTGCCTGTGCCACCAGGGGAGGCCCTCTATGTTGTATTTTGTTAATTAGTGGTTTGCAATGTGATTATTCTACATAGATTTGTATGGTGTGTTCCATTTAACGTCTGAGTTTATTTTAAGTAAATATTTTGGAGTTATATGAAGAAACCCAGACACGCTTGCTTTCCTTGATAATCCTGTGAACACCAATCTTAGCTTATAGATGACTTACCACTTTGAATAAGTGGCTTAGCCCATTTATTGTGGGTTCCTCTGTCTAGTGGTGTGTGAAAAGGTATGCCTGGAACAGCTTTCACAAAGTTCTTTGCCTCTTTACAGAATTTTCACAGTATGGCGTTTATCCTTACTATTTGTTAGATAGTCTGATATTTTCTACTCTATTTCATTAAACAAAAATGCTGATCATGATCTGCTAAATTGATTTCACAATTGATTAATGGGTAGTAGCTTATAGTTTAAAAGACACTATAATAAAGCTACTAGCAGAAAATATTTACTCAATAAATGAATTATGATTTTTTTTCTGTTTCTAGTTCATATTGCTGTGTGTGTCCATGAGTGTATTTGTAATTTTGCATTTACGGTGTCTTCTATAAGACAGTAAAAAGCAAATAGCTTATATGTTGCATGATTGTCAAATCAGCTAACAAAAGCATCCTGAGTTTAGGTGGACTTGTCAACTGTGATTTCAACTAGAAGACATAGCATTAGAGTGAAAGAGCTAGAACAGCTTCTAAAAAAAACCTCTGACTCCCTTATTTATTTTTAAAAAAGTAATAGAAGGATGAGAAGAAAACTCTGTTCCCTGATAAAAGGGAAGATAGGGTGTAAGATTGTTGTGAAAGTGCCTGTGTTTTTGTCTTTATATTAACTCTGAAACTAAAATGATCCTTTTATAATATTGCCTGAAAAATGAACCATACAAACTTTCAATTCCTCAGCCATAAATATGTAAGTAGTCAATTTGTCAATCTTATTTTCTCTGCACTTGCCTTTTAACAATTCTACAACAAAGTAAAAGAGAGAAATGGAAAGCACTGTAAATTAAGTTAGTGTTTTTATCTTAGCATCCTACAAATGATATTAAGTAGATAAGGATGAAGTTTTAAAATTTTAATTAGTGTTGTGCTGAATAATACCTTACGTTTGTGTATCATTGCATAGCTTGCCAATATGTTCAGATGCATTACCTCCACTGATTCTCACGATAACTTGATTTATGGACAGGCAGGTAGGCATGTTTTTCTTTTAGAGATGAGAAATATGGGCCTCCCCAGTGGCGCAGCAGTTGAGTGCTGGGCTGCAAAGCTGCCTGCAGCCTCTGCAGCGCTGGTTCAATCCCCGGCCACCTGGTGAGGGTCCCACATGGTGCGCAGACCTCTCCTGCCGCTCCCCTCAGCAGTGTACCTCGTCGGTCTGCCTGTTCTACTCTCCGCGCTGGCTCTGGTGAATTCTCTCACCCTCCTGCACCTCTGACTGTACCCAGTGCTTGTATAAATAAATAAATCTTTTTTAAAAAAAGAAAAAGAGATGAGAAATCTGTACTTCCTTTTTTCTACTACTGAGATCATGTGTTGGCAAATTTAGGACTAGAACCTGGGTTTTCTGGGACATTTCTTCCCACTTGTCCATGTGTTCTTTATTGATCCAAAGAAGTAACTGAGAGTGTTAATGATGTGGCTCAGAAATCTAACTTTGATAGATTGGAACATTCCATTCTTGGATCATGTCCATGGTATAGTGTAATTAAATCAAACACATCTTATTTTCATTAATGTATTTTAATTCTTACACATTTTACCAACTTAGCCCAAATGATAAAGCAACTAATAATTGATAAATGTAATAGTGCACTAAAAAATTGAAATTAAAAGGTGTATTTAGTATTATGAAATTCTATATAATCACCTTTTAATGCATCATCTCAATTAATTAGAAATACAGCTTAAATAGACCTTTAGATATTTATTTTAATATTTTTTGTGTGAAATTCATTTTATGTATCTAAAATAGTCATCTAAAATGATTATTAACTCAATTTTAAACAAATTCCAGATTCCCCTTTAACCTTAATATCTTCAGTCAAAGAACTTCAATTGTTTCTTTACATGTATTTTGAAATTATATATATTTTTGTATTTTATTTTTAGACCTCTGTGGAGTTTAAGAACACGATGGAGCTCATCAGAGTATATCACTGAAGATTATGATGGCTGAAAACAATTTTAAAATGCTAAAGATTCAACAGTGTGCAGTAGCCAACAAACTACCTAGAAATAGGCCATATATTTGCAATATTTGCTTCAAGCATTTTGAAACACCATCAAAATTAGCGAGACATTATCTCATTCATACTGGTCAAAAGCCATTTGAATGTGATGTGTGTCATAAAACTTTTAGGCAACTAGTTCATCTAGAGAGACATCAACTAACTCATAATCTGCCTTTTAAATGTAATATTTGTCAACGCCACTTTAAGAATCTGAAGACATTTGTGAAGCACCAACAACTCCACAATGAAACCTACCAAAATGATGTTAAACATGGCAGAAGAGTGTTGGAGACCAAGCAAGAAAAGCCAGTGTATGGAATGTATCATACGTTCACCACAGAGGAGAGATGGGCATTACTTCCATGCTCTAAGTCTGACCCTTCGTACAGCTCTACAAAGAAAAGAAAGAGTATTCATGCATGTACAATCTGTGGCAAGATGTTTCCATCACAATCCAAACTGGATAGGCATACACTTATACATACTGGTCAGAGGCCTTTTAAATGTGTTCTGTGCAGTAAATCTTTCCGACAGTCAACTCATTTGAAAATCCACCAACTCACACACTCAGAAGAAAGACCTTTTCAATGTTGTTTTTGTCAAAAAGGATTTAAGATTCAAAGCAAACTTCTGAAGCATAAGCAGATACATACAAGGAATAAGACTTTTCCAACTCTTTCTTTAAAGGTGAAGAGTCCAGAATCATGTCCCTTGCCTAATAAGTTCAATGTAAAGCAGGATGGTTTTGAAAATGGTGACACAGGTGAATCTGAGGAGAATAATCAACTTGATATCCACTCTATTTATATTGTCCCTTTTCAATGTCCAGAGTGTGAAGAGTGTTTTGAATCAGAGCAGATTCTCAATGGACACAAGTGTTTTCCTGCCAGAGGTGGCAAAATTCCAAGCAAGCTCAAAAGAAGCTACAACTATAAAACTGTTGTTAAAAAAATCTTGGCCAAGCTTAAACGTGCTGGGGGTAAGAAATTAGATAACTTTCGATCTGAGAAAAAAGTATTTAAAAACGGTTTCTTGAAAAATTGTGAACTTATTTCTAGTGAGCAGAACCCTGAACAAACCCAGAGAATGTTTCTGGGTTCTTTTGGCAATCGCGGAACATATAAAACAGTTGGCAATAAAAAAAAGAAAACACTGACTTTGCCATTTTCATGGCAAAAGCACTTCCAGAACCAAAACATGGGAAAAAACTTGAAAGGTATCCTAACAACAGAAAACATGTTAACTATGGATAACACAGTGAATAATAAAGACATGTCTCTCTATGGTTCACCAGGTGAGGAATTCTTTGATAACTGCGAAGTGCTTCCCTGTGGTTTTTCAGTTTCAAGTGAAAATATACATAGTGGACATAAGGTGTGTCCTTGTGACAAATGTGAGAAAGTATTTCCTTCTGTATCCAAACTACAAAGACACTACTTAATTCATACCGGACAAAGGCCATTTGGCTGTAATGTTTGTGGGAAATCTTTCAGACAGTCAGCTCATTTGAAAAGACATAAGTTAACTCATATTGAAAAGATTCCCTATAGAAGATCTATTTGCCAAGTTGAATTTGACAATTTGAACAAACTTTTCATTCATCCAGGTGATAATGTTAACTATAATCCTTCCCAACAATGTCAGACTCTTGATTTTCAAAATTATGAGGTCTCAGAGTCAGATCAAATATCAGAAATAAAAGTTAAGGCAGAATCTGAGGATTTCATTCTTGGTACCCACTATAGGAACAGACAGCCCTATATCTCTAATGCGCTTCTGGAGTCAGAGCAGAGCCATTACAGTCACTGCTGTAATTATTCAGAACATACGGAGCGGAATGATGGTCTCCTTTACCAATGCAGTGTTTGTTCTAAAAGTTTTAGATCTCCATCCAAACTGGAAAGACACTATCTAATTCACGCAGGGCAGAAGCCATTTGAATGCTCGGTTTGTGGCAAAACATTCAGACAGGCTCCTCACTGGAAGAGGCATCAACTTACTCACTTTAAGGAACGACCGCAAGATAAAGTGGTGTCTTAAACTCGGTTATGTAACTAACAGAATCCCTCACACATTTGTGGTCTCTCTGGTGATCTTATTTGTAAAGCCTGTATCATTTAAAATATATTTTTATCAAGTGGCTTGTATTAGGTTAAATGATTTCATAGGCAGTTAATTGGCCTACATAGAGAAAGGTAAGACACATAGACTATTAATAACAATGTTATAGCCAAATTAATTTTTAGAGGGAAGTATTTGATTTGGTGCCATAAAATAATCATTTTAATATATTTGTTGGCTATATGGAAAGTGTTAATCTATCCAAGATGTGGTACAAATAATTCAGCCTTACTCATTTTTAAAGAAGAATTACTCCTGAAGACATGTCATCTCTAAGATATTCAAAAGACTGAGTGGCAGAAATTGGTTTTTTACTGCAGCAAATAGCCCTACAATATTTCATGTATTTTATATTTTGCATGAAAGCATAATTTTGTCCACCTATGGCTCAAATTCTATTGCAAAACTTATTCTCCTAAGTTTAAAATATATAAGAGCAATAAAAGTGAAAATGGATGAGAAAACCATACCATTAATTTCATCAGTCTTTTAAGCTATTTATTCTACGACTTGAATAGTTTCACCTTTTCCACAGGCAGTTAGAACTAGTTTTGTGCCCAGCCTGTAGTTGTCTTTCCCAAAAGAATTTATAAGTAAGAAGGAGACTAGGATGCATCTCTATAAATTTACCATGTTTACTTATCAGGTTTATTGTCTATGCAGTGTTATCTTTTAAGAGGAATAAATGCAATTCTTCTATTTGGTTATTAATGATTGACAGCAGTTGTTGTGGACTTAAGACTCATCTATATACCTGTAACTCTACAAAAATTATATATCTGCTTTAGTAAACTCTCTTTTAATGCCTCTTTAAGTGGTTCTATGACTTAACTTACTCTGTTAAGTTGGATCAGATGGCAATGACTAGATCTAGTTTTTAATTCCTGTATGTGTTTTCAAGACTAATGCTGAAGAATTTTATTTAGATTTTTAGTGAATTGTTACTTTAATTAATAAAGTAATTATTCCTATATAGGGAAAAGTTGCTTAGAGAAAATTCAGAATGCCATTCTTCTGAACAATATTGTCATGATTTGGGAAATATTTCACCTACTCCTGAACTACAAAAGACTTATAGTCACAAATTATCCTTCATATTTGGCATTTTTTAAATAAAATCTTGAAGAATGATATTTTCTAATAAGAAAACCCATTATATTTCTAAGATGAAAAGAACAGGTAGGTATTTATCCTGGCACACTTAAATAGAGTGACAATCCCTCTACTGAGAATGGATAAATGAACATTGTGAGTTTACATCATTCTCCAAGAACGGTGTGGGGGCAGTGAGAAGGGGAGGTTGATCTGCTTGCTTTTACGAGTGAATGTTGAGAAACTTGGGTTTAATTTACAGAGACAAAACATGACAATACAGATGAATACCAATGTTGTATAAATATTCAGGAGAATCATGTTTTAAAATAATTATTTCTTTAGGTTTATTTGAGATATATTTCTCTAGAGTAAGTAAGATTATCATTTTTAGAATTTGCTTTGAACTTGCAGAACATATCTATTACATAAAAGCAAGAAATAGTTCATATTTTCCAAAACTAATGGTTCAAAGGTTTTTTTCCTTAAAATGTCTGAAAATATTTATTTTGGGATTCTTAAGCTATTTATGTAATTTTATTTGAAGTAAATAGCTTATATACTCCATTCATACCCCAAACAGAGAGAGTTCTAACAGTGTTGTGTTTCTATGATCATTAGACTATTTGCCTAAGTGATACATTTTCTTTTGGCCCATGCCTTTTTAAGCTGTTTCATATTGAAAGTTGGAATATTGTAAAAATTTTGTCAAAGATGTACTGTAGTGCTATTTGAAGTACCTGTAACAAAATACATATTTACTTTTAATATCATCGCAAGCTTCTTGTGGAAACTTTATAGGAATGAAAATAAACTGTATACATCCATGATAAGATTAAGCATTAGCTGTTAAGTGATGATTTGCTGCATGCTAAAACTTTTACTATTGTTGAATCAATGACTGGTTTTCAGAAAAGAATAAACTTTAAAGAGAATTAGAAGAATTTTTTGTTTGGCTGATTCCAGACTATAGCATGATAACTTACAGAAGCAGTTTGATTGAATGAGTTTGTGTTTCTGTTTTACACTGCAACAGAGACTACAATTTCAAAACAAAACATGTATGTTGAAGGAAAGAAGATGGTTATTTAAATTCCTGAAAAAGTCACATCAGAATATTTTAAAAAATAAAGTTTAAAGTTACACAGTTTGGACTTTTTTTTTTTTAATGAAAAAAGAAAATCGCATAATACTGGAACAAGGAACTGATGGCCAGTTGCTTTCCTGGGCCCACTCCAACTGACCTACACTGAATTTTCTAACATGATATTTAATCATGTACTTCCTTCCTATTAAAATGCTTCAGTAGCTCCTTATCGCCTACAAAAAAATACATTAATTCCACTGCATGTCATACGATCTTCCAGGTTTGTACTGTTATAGAATCAGGTCAATGCATATATTTTTCATTTACTGCCTTCATTTCATCTAACTAGTATTAATTTAAATTATCTTACACTGTTGAGTGAAGAAATTTTGTTGGGTCAGGTTGTGGGTTTTTTCCCATGTGTTAAAAACTCACCTGCGGAAAGCATTCCAATTCATTCCAATTCATAACTTAGGTAAGGTAACCAACTAGAGTTAGACAGTTTAAGGATATAGGAGCAGTTTCTGAAGTCAAGTCTGGGTATCTTACAAGACTTGTTAAAAATAGCATTTGCAAGGGATACTTATGATGCAGAATAGTTGCCTTTTAGAAGCTGCAGGGAAAGAAGGAACATTTCATTTCTATCTTGTTGAGATTTATATTGCCAATTAGAAAGGCTTAGAATTTAACTGGAAAGAAAAGTAATGCAATGGTATTACTGAACGGAATATAGAACATGTAATATATTGGATCTGCTTTAGCAAACATACTCTTTGAAGTTAGAGCTTAAATACTTCTCTGGAAGCCCTTAAAATTTACCCAGGACTCTTTCACCTGTGCTCCACTGCTTTTTGTTTATAACTCTATTACTTGGTTCTGTTGATTAGTGGTTTCAAAGCAGTGTGTACTGGAATCATCTATGGGGCTTGTTAAAGCACAGATTGCTGTACTGTACTCTCAGAGTTTCTGATTCAGTGTCAGAATGGGTGGGAGAATTTGCATTTATACAGGTTAGCAATTGCTGCTGTATTAAAGCTACTCTTTGAAAACCACTGAGCTAAACTACATGCTTCTGGAAAGCAAGAAAATGCATCTCAATGTTTTATGCAGAGGGCTTCATACAGTATCTGTAGATGATGTTTGTATATCCTTACGTTCTCAAATGTATACTGAATGTGTGCAAGGAGGAATGAATGAAGCCATTACTACAAACCCTTTTACATTCTCCTTAAATCATAGATTTACTTAGACTTTTCATTTGCTCTTGGGATGAATTGGCCTTGTAATTTGTTGAGCTCAAAGCCAACCCAACATGTTCTCTCAGCCAAAAACGTTTATCTTTACTCCTCTGTCTCACCATATACTTTGAATAATAATGTTCTCACGCCTTTCTGAAGCTTGCTTTTTCCTTCCTCTCCTCTAGGAACTTCACCAATAGCCTATCTTTTTTCTAATATCTTTCATTTTTCCTCTCCATTGGTTCCTTCTTCCTACCTGAAAAGGAAAATTCCATGTGTTCCCAATTCATTTATGATAGCTTGACTGCAAGTAAAAGAACACTTAAGTTGCTCTAACAGTAGGAACCTTCATTGGTTTATATGATGAGATATCCGTTAGGGTTGTTAAACCATATCATTAACTGGTTCCTTCTATCTGCTCTGTCTTTCACAATTACAAGGCTTGTTCTTTGGTACTTGTAGGATGTTTTGTCTGCAACTGGGATTGCACAATTCCTTCACAGGGATATGATGGAACAGGGAGTGAACAGGAGATCCAGAAATTCCCATAAGAGGAAGAAACAACTTTTCTAGAAGCCTACAGCAAATCTTACCCTATAATCTGCCTCAACTGCTCACAGGTACATTCCTGAACCAACCACTGACGGGGGAGATAGGATTACCTAGTCCTGATTTCCTGAAGGTGATATGCATACAGGTCAAATTTTTTTTTTTTAATAGAGGCATGTTTTTCTTTATTTATTTGTTTGCTTGTTTGTTTGTTTTGTTTATACATGCACTGGGTACAGTCAGAAGCGCGGGAGGATGAGAGAATTCACCAGAGCCAGAGCGGGGAGCAGAGCAGGCAGAAGGACCGAAGTACACTGCTGAGGGGAGCAGCGGGCGGCAGGAGAGGTCTGCGCGCCATGTGGGACCCTCCTCCGGTGGCCGGGGAGCAGCCGGGGATTGAACCGGCTCCACAGAGGCCGCGGGCAGCTTCGCAACCCAGCGTTCTACCGCTGCGCCACCGGGGAGGCCCATACAGGTCAAATTTTAAGTTGTGTTTGGAAATAAGAACTTAGGCAATCAACTGTGTTCATTTCACCTACCTTAAAAAGAGAGTAGTTGAAGCAAACTTTACTTTTACCTGTCATACTAATTTTTGTCATATTTTACTCTTCATTTTATGATCAGAATTGTTGAAAATTCATCTTATATCCTCCATTGCCTCTTCGCTCACTAACTTCTTAGTATTTTTTCTTTTAACCTAATATTTTACTCACCACCTCTTGAGATTTGCTGTATCAATGGTCATGGTAATGAGCATCACGAGTTCAAAACACAACTTCTCCTCCCCTTCACTGGGGATCAGCCAAGTGGTCTGGACACACTGGCCTAAGTTCATCTCCAGCAATAGTTCATGACCAATCTAAGCCTCATTTTTCCCTTTCTATCAGGACTATTCAAGGTTGGCTGATATAAATCTAAGCCAGTCAATGTATAGCATTACCTTGGCCAGAGTAATTGGAGTAGGACTTGGTAATACTGACAATTTCACTTCTGAAACTCTTCTCTTTTTATCATCTGGTTCCTTTGCTTGCTTTCTTCCTCATTTGCAAAACACATTATAGAATAGTTGTAAAAGAAATGAAAAATAAAATACACACAATTTTAGAATATTCATATCCATCACTCAAAAACTTGGTTAAGAGAAGCGATATGAAAAGTAGGACGATATAATGACAGAATTTTGTCATAAATCTACTAGGTATTATAAATTAGACATTTACACAGGTTAGATCACTGAGGAGCTGAAGCCTGTTGACTTCATGTCATAATATCATAAGATAAATTATGAGTTTAATAAAAACGTCTGCTGGCAAACTCACCTGGATACCTCCTGCTATGTCCGACTGTCCCTCTATATAATGGAATCGGCTTTTCTTTCTAAGCTTATTCTATCTTATGTCTTCTCTATTGTGCTTTATGGTTCTACTATTTTTTCAGTTAGTTAGGATGAATTTCTCTTCATTCTACATTTTCAGGGTCTTCATGTTTATTCTCCCCTCTTTGTTTATACTGCCAGAACACAAACTTTGGCCTAATTTTTACTTTTTTATAAATTTTATATATATTTTACATCATTTTTCATTTTTTGCACAATGTATGCATTTTCATCTTGGTTATAGTCCCCATACAATTCCCACGGCCCCCTTATTTTGATCCTAATCTCCCCTCCCCCCAAGTGTGTCTCTGGTTTATAGTTGCTTGTTGAGTTTGATTTTTACTTTATTATAATTAGTCTTTTTCCTGGTCCCTTATTTAGGTTTTCTAAATTCCTGCTGTGAGTGAGACCATCCGGTGTTTTTCTTTCTCTTTCTGACTTATTTCGCTGAGCATGTTCCCTTCTAGCTCCACCCATGTTGCTGCAAACTGCATGTGTTTATCTTTTTTGATTGCTGAGTAATATTCCATTAATTTTACTTTTGCCTCAGATTGACAATAGCCTCCCAGCTGGTATTCTCATCTCTATGTTGCCTACTCCAACCCATAGGCATCTTCCAAAAGTAGATTTTCAATCATCGGTGGCCCATGGCCTTCAACAATAAATGCATCTCCTTCCTGCCGTTTTCAGGTTTGTACCTCCATAAAGCGCCATAAAGTTAAAAACCAAGCGCCGGATCCCGATATGTGGTGGTGTGGTTTTTTTTTTTTTTTTTTTCCATTATTGCTTTTTTTCCGGTAGGAAGAAACTCCGATCTCCCCGCCCCAAGCTATCACCAGAAACCCACACCCTCCCCCTCAGCGTCCTGGCGCTCTGAGACCCGCTCACACCCGCAGGCGGCCTTCTCCCTGCTGGCCGCGAGGGGGCGCGCGCGGGGGCGGCCACCGCCCCCGGCCTCTCTAGCCCGGAGCCGGCACGCGCACTTCCGGGCCCGGCCGCCCGCTTCCGGGGAAGGTGCCGCGGCGCGCGCTGCCGGGGTGATCGCTCGGCTCGGGCTGCCGGCCGGTTCCCCCCGCGGGCGCAGACGGCGCCGGGCGCTCAGAGACCGCGTCGGGGGCGCGGGTGCTCGGCGGCGCGCTCCTTCCCCGGGGCGCAGGGAGGGCGCGACCATGGCGGCCGCCGCTCCCCCCAAGAAAATCGTGGCCCCGACCGTGTCCCAGATCAACGCGGAGTTCGTGACCCAGGTGCGGGGGGCGGGGGAGCGGGGGGGGCGGGGGAGCGGGGGGGGCGGGGGACACCGGGGGGCGCGGAGTCGGGGGTGACGGGGGCCGCGAGCCCGAGGTCTTAGGGGCGGGAGACCGCGAGACGCAGGCATCCGGCAATTCGTAGACGAGTCTTTAAAAAAAAGAAAAAAAAGGAGATCTATTTATGCACACGAGCTGGGGTGCAGGCCGGTGCGGGGGGGTGGTAGAGGACCCCCAGAGAGAGGGGCGCGGAGCAGGCAGGCTGACCCGTGCTCGGCTGCGGGGAGCCGCGGGAGCGGCGGCGCGGACGGGGCTTGGAACAGGGCGTCTGAGCTGCCGGCCCTGGGGTGCTTGCGGGGTGCTTCGCTGAGCCCCTTGTGCCCTCAGGAGCTCATGTTCCCGGGAAAGGCGCAGACAGCCCGCCGCCCGCCCCCGCATCCTGGTTTTCATGGGTGCTTCAGGCTTTGAATGTGAGAGCGAGGAGCTCCGCGCAGAAAGTTACTGCTTCACCAGAAGACATTCTGGTTCTGGCTCAGCAGATCTGCCAACACAGCGGTCTAGGAGTCCGGGAGAGTTCTTCCTGTCCCCTGGTGCACCTCTGCATTCTAAATGTCTTTTTATTTTATTTTATATATTCTTACATCTTTTTTTTTTTTAAGATTTATTTATGCATGCAAGAGCTGGGACACAGGCCAGGGGGTGAGAGGATTCACCAGAGACAGAGCAGGGAGCAGAACAGGCGGATTGACTGAAGTACACTGCTGAGGGGAGCAGTGGCCGAGATAGGAGAGGTCTGCTGCGCCATGTGGGTAGCTCCCTGGCCAGCCAGTGGATCGAACTCGTGCTGCAGAGGCTGCGGGGAGCGTCATAGGTTGCATCTTAACCCCTTGTGCCACCAGGGAGGACCTATTTTTACATCACTTTTCATTTTTGCACAATATATGC